AAGTGCTCAATGAAGTTGTAGTTGTAGTTGTTGTTGTTGTCAAGGACACTGAAGAAAAGTTGTACCCACCATCCATTTTTAGTTTCTAACACAATGAGCATGAAGAAGAAAGTTAAAAACAAAAAATTTGAAGGTTGGTTAATTGCAAGTTAGAAACTTGAATTCAACGGTGGGTGGGTTGGTTGATATTTTGTGTAACATTTTTTTCACTACACGAAGTTACATTGGCAGAGAAAGAGACAGAGTGTTATCCAAAAAATAAATAAATAAAAAAAGAGAAAGCGACAGAGAGGAACAGGGCAAAGTACGAGAGATGAAAATGGCAGGCCACTCGTGACTGTCACGCAGGAAAGTGCAAAATGAAAAAGAAAGTGTTGTCAGATTTGTTTTACCAAGAAAGCATTGGAAAATTTACGAATAGAAAGACAAATTGTCAAACACTGAATTATTAAAGGGTAAAACTGTCATTTCAAGTTGAAAAGGACAGGGATTCTCTGCAATATCGAGGTTTGTGATGAATGTAATGTGACAAGACAGTTCGAACCATGGAAACGTTTTACCCTTCCCTGCGCAAGATAGCAGTTTTGGGCGCAGGCAATGTAACATGCGCGGAAGGTTGTGATGAATGGAGTCACAAACCCAAGTATGTATATCTATGATGTATTGATATTGACATCAGATACGATACGATATTTTGATATATTAATTTTAAAAAATACATATTAAGATACGTATTGATATTAAATAATATTTTTAATTTATATAGTTTATATTATATTTAGTATTCAATAATTTAATAAAAAAATAAAGCTAAATTTATAATACCTATCAATTTTACAAATGAAATATAAAGATATCATAAATATTTATATTAAACTCAATAAAATAGTAATCGTAATCCAACAAATCTAATAGTTAGAACTAAAAACGCAACGCAATCTTTGAACTTTTTTTGAATCTCTAGAACCGGTGTTGGAGTGTCGGGGCCTTTTGACCTTGGCACTGTGATTTTTAAAATGTATGACCGGAATAATTTCTTGGTCAAATATTTTGCCTAAATAATACATTACGACGCGGCTGGTGAAGGGACGTTTTAAGACATGATACTCTGCATACCGTGTCCAGTACAAACTGCGAGCATGTCAATCAGTGGGCATAGGACGTGATACCATGAAAGCCGCGTCCCTTGCAAAATGATATGCACAAACGCGGTTGAGCAACTATCACGTGTATTTCCAATAAATAAATAACTTTAATAGCAATGGCAAACATGATTTGATGGGATAATCAGCAGATAATTTTTCGTCTGTTTGTCCTTTGTCCCTTAAATCTATTTTAAGGCTTGAATGCATATTAGAGTTGTTTATTTTTGTTTTTATCAGAAGACTGCAGAGATCTTTGGTGGAGTTGGAGAAGCTTCATTCTGGTGGCCAAGGAGAATTACATGTCCCGCCAGATTCGTTGAGGTTTGGGCCGAGTCAGATTTTATGCTAAGCTTAACTCATTTTTTAAAACAAGTCCCGCCAGAAATTGTTTCAATGACTAGCAGATCACTACAAATAATATAAATTGTTACATAGAAAATAAAATAATATAATTTTAAATTGTGGAGGTTTAAAACTTGCTACAAATTTATTTATTTTGTGGAGGTTTTCTTGACCTCCACTAAAAAACCTCCAGTAATCAACCATTTTTTTGTAGTGGTAGATCTATAAAGAAAAAATATTGATTACCAAAAAATATATATATTTTCTGTAGTCAATGTAGATAGTTGTCTACGTTGAGCCCGAAATAATGTCATTTTGTGACAGAATCAATTTATTTTTGTAATTATAATTTATTTCAAGGTTATAATAGTCTTTTTCAATATAATTTTTTAATTTTTCAACCCAAAACAATGTCATTTTGAGAGTGAATGTAAATAACTTATCTATATTCACTGTAGAAATATTAAAAGCATATATATATATATGAGATATGATCCGTTTACAAATTTTTTTTACAAATTACACTAAGTACGACCGATCGTATACTGCATATTTAAAGTATGACCGGTCGTACTTAGTGTAGTTTGTAAACAAAAAAAGTATATATATATATATATATATATATATATATATATATATATATATATATATATATTATAATGGCCTTGCCAAAACAAAATTAGATAAAAATATGGATTTTATTAATCTCATGCAACAGAAGAGAAGTTATCTCATACTATAGAAACCACAATTATATGTAAGACCCACCAACTTAAAAAAAAGGAAAAAAATAATATTACGAAAATTAATGTACGTGTAGAAAAAAAAAATTCTCTTATAACATAAGAATATATTTTCCCTAAAAATATATTGCACGATAAGGGGTGCGAGACTGCGAGCCAATCAACATTTGAGAGGCGGATTGGGACATTGCTAAGGCGGAACCGTTGGATGCAGGGGGGAAAACACACTTTGATATGAAGGGCTGAGATTGCACAGCTTGTAGGATACAATCTGGACCGTAAATTTCAGTTCAAGGGTTGAGATTTGCACAGACGGTTGGCTTTCCAGAATTCCAAGTCAGTGCTGGGCAGTGGCAAATATGGGTGTTTGTGGTCTAGATTGAATCGGTTTAAGAAGTAAAAATTATCTGATCCAATTCCTTTGGTTTAATCATGTAATCATACATTCGATTTGGATTTTTTTTCAAATCCGATCCGATCCAATCAAATTTTATTCGGTTTGGATTGAATCTGTTTTCGATTTTTTAAAAATTCTAAAATTTGTATGATGATTATTGTGCAAATAACATATCTTTTGTATGTATTGACTTTGTAAAGTTTGTAGATGATTATTGTGCAATCTAGGGCATGTTTGATGCATAGTATAAGATAAGGCCAGATAATATAAAACCTGACAGTATAAGGCTTGATTGTATAAGACCTGATTGAATTTTAATATTATCCAGCGTTTGGCACGATATTGTATAAAATAATATATTGTGTAAGATAATATCATCTAGTATTTGGTAATGCACTGTATAATATTATATATGATAAAAATAAATATTTTTAATAAAAATACCCTTTAATAAAGAATTTATATAATTCTTCAAAATATGTCATATGATATTAATTTTTATAAAAATTTATTTATCAGTGTATCCAAAATATAAATTGATTAATAAAAATAAAAATATTCAATATTTTAAAAATTAATATGTTGAAAAATTAATTTTTATTTTAATAGATTAATATTAAAATAATATATTTAGTTTTGAGAATTACATTGGTCAACGATATTAATACATCAATCTCTTATCAGGCCTTATCCCTCACCCTTAAGACCGGATTAAGTAATACATCGTTTTGATGTATTAAGAGATTATGCTGTATAAGCTTATACTATACGATGGTCACACCAAACAACTGAAAATGTCATAACGTATAGTATAAGCTTATACTATCATGCCTTATACGTCACACTAAACAGGTCCCTAGAAGCATTGTATAACAAAAAGTTGAATTATCATCTTTTACATCCAACAAAAAATTTATAATATGGTTGCCTGAGATACGAAGTAACCCAAATTTTTATCCTTTAGAGTAGCTGCTGTAAAATGATAACCCATGTAATAAAAATATATTATGTATCTTACCAAAAAAAAACTTAGCATAGATCAAGCAGAACTCACTTTCTCTTATAAGTTATTAGGTCTTGGATTTAGTTAATCTTCTCACTAATCGGATTTTGCTGCTTCTGCTTCTGAAGCTGTTACTGTTTTTTCTGTTTAAGTTTTTGTTCCATTTGTTTCTTTCTTGTTTCCTTGGGGCTTGGCCCTGTATTAAAAAAAGGAATTTTGCTAAATGATTCTTGGGTTATGATTGTGGAAAGACCCAAGTAGGTAGATGGTAAGGTTGGAAAATTATTGGATCGATTTTCACCAACCGATCCAATCCAATTAAATTTTGCGATTTTTTTCGATTTTTGATTTTTCGATTTTCGGTTCGGTCATCGCGGTTTAAATCGGTTTGCATCGGTAGATGAACACCCCTAGTGGCGAATAGCTGAAGAAAAAATTAATATATTTTTATTTTAACAAAAAATTACAAAAACAATTATTTTGAACCAATTTATGAATCTATTGCATTCAATCGCACCCCACAAAAGCGCACCAAGTCGCACCTCACGCGGGCGCGACTAATCCGGTGATGACACATGACACAAAAGAATAATAGTTTGACCGTAAAATTTTGAAATGTCATAATTTTTGACTCGGGTGTCTGAATTAGATAATTTTTTTTATTTCACATAATTCTTCGAGATCTATGCAATTCGAGATCTATGCAATGACATCTCATTGAAGAGGATTTGGTAAGAAAAAAAATTTAATTTTTTTTTTCAAATTTGAGATATTTTACAATAAAATTTCAGAAAACCATAATTTTTGACTCGGGTGTCCGAATCAAGTGCTCTTTTTTTATTCTATATAACTTTTCAAGAGCTACACGTGAAATTTCACTAAAAATGCTTGCTTGTGCTCTGTTTGACATATTTTATCTGTATGAATGATGTTATTTGAATTTTATTTTCCAACAATAATAAATATTCCTCTAGAAATTTTCCAATGTGTAAATCTCAAATAGATACGTGGAATAAAAAAAATCACTTGATTCAGACTCTCAAACCAAAAATTATGGTATTCTGAAGGAGTCTTATTTATGCTTAGGATATAGCGGTTAACATCTAATAATAATAAAAGATCTTGAAGATCCATGCATCAGTCTAAGAGACAATTAAATTAACACTACAAAGGAATATAATCAAGCTTTTCACGACATGTAAAAAGGAAAATCCAATACAAAATTAAGAATATCAAATTATATGATATTGGTAAGTAAATGTAGACGTCTAATGTGTATATATAAAATGCTAAGACTATATCAAACACAACAATGGTTAGAAAGCTGAAATACCAAATGCCTTAAGGAAGTCATTATTATTCAATTCGGTTCAGTACGTGGGTATCCTTAGGAGTTTATTTTTCGAAAAATGTAATGAGATTACTACCTGTTGTTAATCTAACTGATGAGTACATCATGTTTTTTTTTGTTTTTAGTACAAGAGTACATCATGTTTAAGTATACAAAAATGGTTTCTTCAGCTGAAGCAGTAACTCCAATACAGCTATTTGGAGACCCATTTTTTCTTTTCTGAAGTTCTTTTTGCCCAATATATCAGCTGTCCGCAGAACAGAATTTATAGCACATGGCCTCATGGCCCAAAGACGTGTAGAAACCACGCTCATTTTGATTACAACGGAGATCAATTGTGAAAAATCAACTTAAACCAGCAACTGATATGAGCCCCATAGCAGAGCACACTGTGAAAGAAAGAAATATCAAATAAAGGGTGATGAGTCCCATTCCTAATATTCTGTTAGGATACATATTGTTGCGTGGTAAAATAACAAGGGCCCATAGCAGTGCTGTGATCAGAAATCCCATGGTGTAAAATAAGCTACTGTCTTCAGGCACAACGAACAAAGAAGGTTTATTTGACCAGGCACCAATCAGCAACGAGATCCCCAAACCAATAAGTGTGTTGAACATAGGACCTGCATAGCACCCAGATAAAGCAATCTGAAGTCCATCTTCTCCATCCAATGCCAATGCAACATTTGACATCAAATCTCCCATTGAATTTCCCCATGCTAATACAGTTAATCCCAGTATGGATGGATTAATTCCGAAAATTACACCAAATGCTATTAACAGAGCCACAAGCTCATTTGCTATTATGTAGAACCACACTATGCTCATGAGGAATCCTCCAAGAACCCAGGGAATCAAAAACTGAGGCGGTGGATGATCAGAAACTGTGTATTTGTATGCAAGAATACCAAGTGCACATCCAACTGCAACGCCAACACTATAAGTAAGAATAGTACCCTGATAACCCACATTATCTTGGGTGCACCATAAAAAGGCTACGAGAATGGGAGCCAACGAAGCACTGGCCACAGCAAATGGTTTTGACCAAACTTCCTCATGGACCATTGGAATTGTTACCCGTCTAGGAATAGCCAGAGGCATCTCCATCAATAAAAAAAGCTTTGAAACAGAGAATGATAACCTGGTGTTTCCCGTGGAATCATCACTCCAACCCCAAGGAGGCCTTTCATCATCTAAAAAATTGATTTTACTTGCTTGGTTTGAATATATTGCCACATTCGAAGACCACATCCACTGTGGCAAGGAAGGAGGGAGACGGGGAGGATCACTCTCAGTGTCCAAGTCAAGCAAAGAGCTATAGATAGAAGTATCCTCTTCTGAACCAAGAGAGAACACACTTCCCTGGACAGGAAGCAATGGTGTGACAGCATCCAATTTCAACCTCTGTGCATGTTTCCGTAATATCTCATTGGCAGCAACAATGAATGCATAAACAACATAAATTGATACAAAAGCAACGGCTGCCCCAACACCCACCTTACCAACAACCAAAATCAAAAGCAGTGAACCAAGAGTGAACAGAAAGAAACTAACATCCCTTATAAAACATCTCCGATCAATTCGAATCCCCCTCTCTGTAACACATAGAGAAACAGTTCCAACAACAATACAGGTAACAAACAAAGCACCACCTAACACGCTGTTAAGACCAACTTCACCTGTTCCAGAACCCACAAAGGAAGCTATACTAGCAAACACATCAGGTGCTCCATTCCCAAGTGGAAGCAGCACAACCCCAGCAACGGTTGGAGGCAATTTCAATAGCCTTGAGAGGTGCTCAAGAGAAGGGCAAAAGTAGTCAGCTGCAGTGTTTCCCAAGAGATAAAACAAAGCAGCAAGCCATACACCCAAAACTAGATAACCAAGCACTCCAAAACCCTGACACTTACAATAGAAAAACCTCAAGTAATCAAGATATCCCTCAGAAGAACATTGTGGATTGGCCTTTAAGTATTCACAGGGGCTAGCATAACCATCATGGCGTAGCAATCCAGTACAAAATCCACCACCACCACTTACAGCTAAATCTTTCTCATGAGGCTCACCACTTACACTTGAAGTGTTGAGGCTGATTTCAACCATTCTACGGTGAATCACAGAATTCCCATCTTTCAAAATCGCATTTTGAGGCAAACGATGATTCACCAAATATGCGGATTGCCTTAGAAGCGGATTACGAATTATGTCTTCCCGATTGTAAAAGAAGAAAAACACAACCATGGCGCAAAAGCCATTGAAAATCCCATGAAACCTTCTGCGCCTTGCACTATTTAGCGCCTTCATCTCCAATCTTTTATCCACGGTGGACTTTCAGCTCCCAATTACACAAACCCAGATACGTAAAATCTGTCTAGGGTTTCAATTTCTTGAAAGCGAAACGAAACCCAAAGACTCGGAATTGAGACGATTTGAAACGGAATTTGATGGGGAAAATATTGCATTACAAATAATTGGCGTGGAAATTGGGCTAAAACAAAGAGAAATTAAGAAATATTGGAACTTACCCGATGATTTGAAGAAGGAGATAAGTGGGGTTTCAGAAAGGTAGAAGTTTGGGGTTTTCGATGTTCCTTTGCGGTTCCGTAGCACTCTGCACTTGGCATGAATACTTTTCCTCATGGTGTAAATGCACGTGGCGGGGAGAGGCTTTGCCACGTCATACTTGGGTAAATTATTTTACGCGTAACCTGGTTTATTAGTCTTGTATAATAACAAATTATAAGTTTACTCATATTAATATTAAAACTAAAAACATAAGTCTAAATCTGTTTAGATTTATTGAATATTTAATAAATAAAATAATAATATTTTATTATTTAAAATAATTAAAATAATAATTTATTTATTTTATTTAAAATAAATAATATGATATAGTCGTCCTATAGATTTATAGGTTCGACATATAAAAAATAAACATATATCTTATTTTCTAAATAGGCTTTTTTTGATAAGTATATATTAATTTTACTATATGTAATAGGTCAAATCAAGTTGTAGGCCTCTGTTAGGCCAACTAACCTATTTATACCCCTACTTTTCCTTTTTCTTTTGTAGGAGGAGTTGGGTAAAAAAGAAAATTATTTGTTCATCAGAATTACACACAATAAGGGCTATAGCCTATATATAAAAACAAAAATCTAGATTAGATTACGTAAGCCCAGCCCAATAACATTAAATCATAAAACCACATTGCAAATACACTGTGTAGCGCCAAAAAAAAAAGAAGAAGAAGCTAGCTTACATTTCTCTTAGGGCATGTTTGAATGGCTTTTTTTCTTCAAAAGCTGCTTTTTTTAAGGAGAAAAAGCACTTCTCAAAAAAAGTCTATTTGATGCATGCTTTTTAAAAAAGTAAAAGTCATAAAAAAAAGGCAAAAATCTGCTTTTTTTTCAGAAATTAAAAATTTTAACTTCTAAAAAAATAGAAATCAAAAGTCAAATATATTTTTCAAAAATCAAATATTTTTTAAAAATCTAAGTAGTTATAACTTTTATAGAAAATACTTTTAAAATAAAGAAGTCATAAAAAAAAAATTTTAACAAGTCAATACAAACAAACTCTTAGTCCCAACTGTTTCAAGTTCAGGCGTAACCTAGCCCAAAACAAGTATTCATAAAATTAAACGTAGGCCCAAACTCATATTTTCTCTCCTAGATGGAATATGTCAGTATTGGATGACGGGAGCTTCCAAGAATGCGAAAATTTTAATATACTACCGTCATATTTACATCCACCAATAAAAATAAAACACCTATATTGACATGTTTTTGAAGAAAGAAAGAAAATATTATATTTATATATTTTTGAAATACATAATTTATAATTTTATTTTAGGTAAGAATCATACCTATTACTCAGTGCAACGGTAATACCAAATATGTTTTACGGAGTATTTTTATTATTATCATTATTAGTAGTACTGTAACAGCAGCAAGTATCTTGTGCATTGTACAAATATTTTTAAATTTAATTAGAATAAATAGCTAACCAAAAAAGAGTAAAATAAATAAATTAAAAGAATAAAAAATGCATAATTAACTTATGTGTAACTTAAAAATATACATTAAAAATTATTTAAGATTATAAAAAAGATATATCTAACAAGATTTTTTTTTAAGATTTGCTCGTTGACTTATTGATTATTCAATTAATGCGGTTGAGCCAAATGAGACTATAAAAGTAATAAAAATTTTCCTATCAAATTTTTAACACAGCTACAACATATTTAGAATTTGAATTCGAGACCATTAATTAAGTTAGAACAATTCTGTATCAATTAATTCGTATGTTTTGTGGTGTATCTAAGAATTGAACAATGTGAGTGAATTCTCAAGCAACCTTTATCTATAATGGCATGGGTTTGAATCTTAGGCATAAGCTTTTGGTACAACACGTATACCTACACCGTGACTAAATGAGAAAAGTTTTTGGAACATGGAGAAAATATAAAAAAGTAAGAATTAAAATGAAATTTTTTTTATCCATTTTAGTAAATGGGTGTATCGAGTTTGGTACACTCGTAACATTAAATTTTTTCTCAATCTTAGAGTGACCATTTTGCACAAAGTTTTATTACCTAATAAACACCTTCACCTCAAGAGACTAGTCTCATAGCAATACGGAGATATCCTATCAAAGAAAAAAATGAATAATTAATTTTACAAAATTTAAATTACAAATTAAAAAAAAAAAGTTAGAGGTGTCATAACACGCAAGTCAACCCGCGATATGACCCAACAATTTATGTTCGAGTTGACCCACAAAATAATTCGTAATGAAAAATATGACAAAAAATTCATATCGTGTCGAGTGTCATGTAATGCCAATACGAATTCGACCCATATTTTTTATTTTTTTATTTTGTCAATTACTGTTTCGACCCATAATTTGCATGTTATTTGTGTGTCGTGTCAACCCGTAAAATTCCGTATCGTGTTTGTATTGAATGTATTCATATCGTGTTAAATTTGTGTGGTATCATGTCGATCCATTTTGACACCATAAGTGAGATGTTTCATTTTTAATAAAATAAATAAATTAAAAGATCAAGTTACTCACAATAAAGTGACTTTAATTTAGGGTTTTATAATTCTAATTTAACATGAGAATTACAATTTTCCTACACACCCTTCGATTTCCGTACTGACATGAGTCCTACATATAATTTTTTCTAACACATGGGTCTCAAATGCTTTTTATCTCTACAACATGAGATTTCAATTCTCCTTCAACATGAGAATTATAAAACCCTTTAATTTAATACAAGGGGCGAATTGTAACATCATTTTATTTTGATATCACTCATCTTATTTTTTTTAAGAGCAAGTTAATTATGTAAAATGTGTGCACGTTGTGATCGAGGAGATTCTGTAAATGTTATTTAGTTAATGGTGTACCGTTAATACTAATTCAAATTGATTGGTGTTAGTAAAATACACAAAAGAAATTAAATTAAGATTTGACATTATATGTTAGTATAAATATAATTTACTATTTAGTATCATTTATATTTTCATGTTGTCCCAAATCTCATTTGAAGTCAATGGTCACCCATTGGTTTCCAAAACCATGATCCCCTTCGAGCAGGTTCATTCATCTCAAGACTTCACGAAAAAACCCAAAAGAGATAGCGTCAAACTTGGTTGTGTGCACTTTCTAGTAAGTTGTTTTCCATATTCCATTGCATAAACCGCAGGCCTAAGTCTTGGGAGAATATACTCGTTGACAACCTTCAATCACGGGTAACATTATTATTATGATGACCTAAGTTTTTCCCTTAATAATTGCCCACTTGGTTTTAAATAAAAAAAATTGCACGAAACAAATTATTCTCACATACGACAAAGAAATAATGGTTCATGAATCATGTGGCTATTTTATTTTATAATCTGCTTACTAAATTAATTTCTTGAGCTAATCATCATTAATTAGTCTGCATAGAGCAATGTGAAAGGACCCTTTTATCATATTCAATAGTTAGATAAACTACTTTCCCGGAAAGGAAGGAAAAACCAAACTACACAATTGTTGGGAGAGTTTGGACGCTTGTTGAGTTGTGATTCAGGCGTTATTTTTCTAGGGGAAACTACCTACCATTTTCAAAGAAAAAGACAGTTAATTTTTCTTATATTATATTAGCCATCATCCTAGCTGTCGAGAACATCTATTCATATCTTTGTCCAACTAGATCAAGATTTACATGTGTAGTACACCAATTGGTGTCAAGTGTGAACTATCTAGTAAATTCTCATTGCAACGTAAGACAACCAAGTTGCAAGTTAAAATGGTCAAACTAAAATTTCTTTGCTTCATAATCTTTGCTTTTAATTATAAAAAAAATGCTGAAATCAATTTTCATTTTGCTTTATTTTATTTATGTGAGAACCTCATACAACATTGCTCATTATAGAACCCAACAAAGTGCTAGATGTGCTACAATAATTCGTAGGAATCTTCATTCATGTGTCTTTGCCTAGCAATATAGTGTTATTTTAAGTGATTTAGTTCAGGACACAGGAGTAACGTTCTTTACAGGGTGGAAATGTTTATTGAAAATTAGTCATTTGGAATTGGAAAGGCTGCTACAAGAAGCTAAGGTCCACCTGACACATACCGTCCTTGTATTCCAGGAGGGCATCTTCCTTACTACAGTTGCATCAATCATTGGATACTACGATATATTATGCTATGTATTATCGGTAATATATAATGTAAAATACAAAAAGTTATTCTTTTTTTTTTTCTTTCTCCAATATAATAACAGCTGATGTGGCATGCTTATATAGGTCTGCTATATACTAGATTTTTCGGTATTCCAGAAGGTTCTGTCTTGAAGAATCACATAACAGCAATTTTCTCTGGCATTGGTTTTGAAGCGAGAAAAGCCTAGTTGTCATCACACTCTTGTGTGGTGCCAGAAAGATCTCAAGGAAGCATTTGAAGAAAATCACAAATGGATAAGACCGTGCAACAACTTTCCATTCCTGAGGCATAATCATTGTTGATGGCCCCTGGCCCCTCTTTGTACAATACTATTCACATATCTACTTTTGTTTCCTTGTCACAATTCTATTTACAGCTTGTTACCATCTATATAGCGGAAGAGTATATGGAATTCTCATCTGCCATACAAAGAACAAAAGCTTTGATAATTTTGAATAAGTTTTAGTTTATTTATTTATTTGTCATAGAAGGTACTTGGAGCATTTCATCCACATTTTATTTATCCATTGTTTATACCAAGAAAGCTCCAACCAGATATTTTATTAGAAGATGCATGAGAATAAGGACTAGTTAAGTATGGACAGCTGGCAAGCTTAATTATTTGTCATACATTGCAAGGGAGGACATTAGGTATGTATAGTCCATGAAATGTAAGCATTTACATGCACCCGTGATATGTTCCTTCAGTATTTTAAGAATATACCATTGCAAGAGACAGTATTAATATGGAAAACTCGGCACACAGAATCACAATTTCAGGTTTCTAAACATTAGAAACATCCATGATTGTTCCAACTTCCAACCACTCTTTGTCTTATCTTTATTGTTTAGTGATAACACAAGAAGATATATTCACATTGAAATGTGTAACTGGCTCAAAATTAAAAAGAAATCGTATAAGCTGCATTGTCCATTGCATCCAAGATGCTAAAAGTACAGCAGTCAATTTTATATTTAACCAATGATTAGTTATTTAAGCCGGCTTGGGAAACTCAATTATTGATGTATTTATTTTTCTTTTCACTTTAAAATAACTGTAACTGATTTCAACCCAACTTGAGTACAGACAAGATTAGTTGAATTCCATGATCAAATTTTGAGATTTTGCAGAATTAGACACCTGAGGCAGCATTGTCCAATCTTTTTCTTCAGCTGCACCAACTGTGAGATGCCTGTCTTCAATTACCAACATAGTTTTCATTTTTAAAACATTCTAAATTGAATAGAAAACAGAGAAACTGGCATCAGAGAAGCAAAAATTTGTAGCAAATTATGTTCAAATAGCTAACAACAGATTCAAGGTTCTGTACTAGATAACTACAATTGAACATCTAATTTAAAACTCAGGACTTTTCTGTCTTTATTTCTGCTTCCCCCTTCCATTTTTAGCAATCAAATACAGCATCCCCTTTGTTTCTCATTGTTCTATTCCCATCCCATATACCTTCAAGAACCAGACAAAGTAGAGAAGTAGCTCTCAGACCTGGTAAGCCCAGAACTACGAATTTCTCTGATATTCTTAGTTGGACTACTTGGTGTGGACCTTACTCTGGGAGAATCCAAACTCCGCCTAAGAATCTGTCTCATAGCTGATATCAAATGCAATGTTGGGTTTGGAGGAGGACCTGAAGTCTTGAAATTTTTGCAGAAGTTCATGTGCTTTGTCATTGCTTCTTCAGTGCTAACAAGCCTCTCAGACCTTACAATTTCATCCTTAACAGCTTCAGCACATAACCCACAAACCCAAGATCCATGGTAACGCTCTCTGATTCTTTCTATATAGGCTGGAGTGCACTCTTCTGTTAGTCCACAACAGTCACAGACGGCGAATTCAACTTCACCCTGAGCACCTAGTATACTAGCTGCTGATTGTGTTTCTGGTGCTGATATAACCATTGGATCACTGATCATAGTTGCCGCAGACATTGCCAACCACCCTGTGATGAAACAATGAACACTAAAAAAAGTTAACATCATTCTGCTGATGAATCTGTTATATACTTTTCTGTTTGGTTGCCAAGAAAAAGAAAAAGAAAAAGTGATTGACGAAAGAAAGAAAGATAAACCTTTCAAGGATATGCTTCAATATAGATATATATGTTTTTCACAAGATCAATAAACCCAATATAGTAAATGGTTACCATATGAACAAAAACATTTATTGGTTCCTTATTCAGCCAATGAAGAAATCAAGACAGGAGAAAAAAAAAATGAAAAAAAATTCAAGCAAGCTCTTCTCCCTTTTATGCTAAAGATTATTGCTGAATGAAAGAAAAGCATGGAATTTTTATATAAATAAAACAATAGAAGGAAACATGTGCATCATTAGGAGGGGAAAAGAAAAATCTGGGTTGTGAGAGAAATTGAACAATAAACATGATAAAATTGTAAGCAAACAAATTCAACATGATATTTGATGAGGATTACCAGCAAAAGCAGATCAAAATAAATCAAATCGATTGTTTATCTTTCTCTACTTCTGCTTGCTGGGTATTCTTCTCTTCTTATCTCTCCTTCTCCCACTCTCCTTCCTCGGTTTTTTCTTCTTCAGTAAACAAAATCTCAGACATGAAAACCATTTCAGAAAACTTTTGAGTCCCAGAAAAAAAAAAAAAAAAAAAACTCTTTTGCTTTCTTCAACCTCTTCCCAATAATTAAATAAAGTCTCTCTTTTTTTTCTTTTTTTGGGGTGAAAGGAGAAAACTTTGAAGAAACCCAAATCTTATATGAGCAAACAAAGAGATTGTTTTTTTGTTTTCTGCACTGGATCTGCATTCAACTTTATATGAATAGTGGGGAACTAGAGAAAGAGATAGCACTTTCTAGAGAGAGAAAAAAAGAACTCCAATGATTGGTGTTTTTAAGGTGGTGGAATTTGGTATAATCCACGTAGGCAAAACAATTTATTGAATGTGTGAATGTTTGGTCGTTGGTGATTGGGTTGCCAGCTATGCATTATGATATCTTGAGTCTATTCTTAGCCAATATGTGCTGTTTAGACTTTTCTGCTTCTCTTTCTGATAATATTATCCACGCAGACTTAGTATTATTTTCATTTTTCTATCGCTTAAGCCTTAATCAATTACTTGATTATTTCAATTTGAAACAGGTTATATAAAACTTTTCTTATCAAAGTTTTAATATAATCATACATTTAGAGTTCGAATTTGATACTACAATTAAACTAATTGATACACGTTTCTGGTGATTAGACTTAGTATTAATACCTTATATGTACATTTTTTTTTTATAATTTACTTATAATTAATTTTTCTTTTTTATATAATAATGACAATGAGATTTAAATTTATAAACTCATATAAATTATTCAAATCCCTCATCTCATACTCATATCTAATGACTTGACTTTATTTTTTTTTTCTACCTTAATTTTGCTACAATAACATATTGTTAGGATGTACCAATTTTTTTCAAAAAGACTCTTTCGGAATGTACAGATTTTCCAAATTATTTTTAAGGTGGTGAAGATATGTGTTCGCATTTTTTCATTTATCGTTAAAAGATATTTGAAAATCTTAATTTTTATAGAAATCTAATTCTTTCTTGGGGGACTTAATTCATACTAGTTAAGCATTTTAAGTTTTGTTTCAACTTGAGCTCAAGAACACAAATTCAACCATTAATAATTCATATTTACATAATTTTCATAAATTTATTATAATTAAATTTACTTGTGTACTTTGATTCTGTTATATATTTCAAACATGAGAATTAGGGGATAAATGAATAAGGGACTTTTAGATTGTGAACGACTGGGTTACATGTCTAAAATTGATTGTTAGAATCAGGCTTAGACTTATATAAAAACTTGTTTAATAAAAAAATCTTAGATTCCAATTCAAAAATTCTGCCTCAAAGTCTCCCAAGCTGGTCTAATATACTAATTTTTATTTTTATTTTATATTTTATATTACTCATAATAGTCCTCTCTCTTCAATTTATTTCACTCCATTTTATTGATTAAACAGACTTTTTGATTGATTTTTGTTTGGATATACATTGAATTTTATGAATTTTTATGAAATTATTAGTGTTGTTGATTGTATATTATGTTTGAATAAATTTTGGTTGTCTTATTTTTTGTTAACAAGCTAACAGCTTAAATCAGACTTTTTATTTTTTTGCAGGCCACATATCGGTAATTATATTCATAATAGGTAACATGTTAAATCATGCTGATATATTTAAACGCAAGCTTAATCTATTAAAACTAAAATTCTATCAGACTCCACCCGCTAACACCCTATAGGAATTGAGAATGCAACTAACATTTTTTTTTTTGTAACATTTTTATAGAAAAGTATTAAGGTAGCAATACTATTACGTTAGCAGTGAACACATCCTTAAATAAATAAATAAAAAACCCAACCTTCTTTTCGGCTTTGGACAACTGGAAATGTCTTTTTTTATAAAGATTTATTTAAAGATGGTAAACGGGTCTTTTTTCCAGGGCACAACGTGCATTGCAATCACCTGTAGGAATATGCCATTTGGACTTTGGACCAATTAGGAAGGGTTCCTTTTTTTAACCCCATAATTTTTCTTATTTATGAAGCAATAAATATCAAGGTGACGTGTGAAAAAATAATCATGTGAGGAAGGTACAACTTGCAAAATTTCGTCAAATAAGTAGCTTGCTGATTTGAATTACAGCTTGTGTTATTTGTGCCCTTACCGGCTGATTAGTACTAATTAATGAGGTCAAGATATCAGATTTTATATTTATAAAAGTGGCTCCATCAATGAGATAGGTTATATTTATTATCATTTTTATTATTATTTTTTACTATCAATTTTGTTATTATTGGATTAAAATTAAATCAACAATTTTTACTTGATATTATTTTGTAACCGTTGATTTGATTTTAATCCAAAGATAACAAATTAATAGTAAGAGACAATAAAAAAAAATGATAGTAATTATAATCTTCTTATATATATAATCTTCGTTTGAGAAAATTAGCGTTTATGGATTTTTATTTTTTTTGATGTAAAGATACTTGGATGGTAAGTAGATATGAATGCACAATTTGGAGATCACAAAAATAAATGCCTATTGGCTCAAAAATATTTTTTAATCGTTTGCTTAATAATCAAAACGTATCCTCGTCATATCATGCTTACGGTGTATGTGTACTTTTTTGATTTTTTGAAATAAATCACGAACATCTTTTACGAGAAGTAATTTTTTTTTTGAACAATTCTTTTTAGTATTTTTTTAAAGCTGAAATTATGGTTTGTGAATTTAGATCAGGCCGAATCAAGTTCCTCTCCCAGTGGCTTGTAATAACCATAATATAAAATCCAATCAATGTACTATTGAACTTGATTTAGCGTATCTTTATAATATACTAATAATTAAGGACAGAAGAAGGGAACTTATAGCATTACTTTAGCAAAATACAAAGTACAATATTATTAAGAAAAAAAATGCAGATCTAAGTTTTGTAACGCATAAGCAACTTGACAATAAAGGGAACCGCATAAAGAAAAGAAAAAAAAAAGGGTAGGGAAGAATTATTATTATGGCTAATCAGTTCAAGGTTCTCCATATCTAACATATCGAGGGCCGTATTCTTATTCCAAAGTGTGACAACCTCTAATAAAAGTCCAAGCACATATGCATGCACACATGTCCGACAAAACCCTAAATAATTTCAACTTTTCATCCGAAAAGAGCTGGTTTGAGTAATAACTTATGAGACGCAGATCATAATACGAAGGCCTATTATTCGACAGGTGAATTTTTCACGCCTTCAATTGGTTCGGTTGGGGTTGTTTGCAAACGCAGTGCTTCTTACGCAACCACAGCTTTCATGGCCCCCACTGCCATCTTTCATTATTGTTAGAAATATATATATATATAAGAAAAATATTTCTGCAGCCACTTTAGATAAAGTTGTCTACAACTACCATTTTAACTAAGTACGACAGGTCGTACATTAAAAATACATTTGCTCTCTCCGCCACGTCAGCTGATAGTGTCTGAGGAGAGAGAAAAAAAGAGCAGTTTTATTATTATAACTAAGTACGACCGGTCGTACTTTGTTAAAGAGAGGTAACTGTAGATAACATTATTTAAAGTGGCTGTAAAAATACTTTTCCATATATATATATATATATATATATATATATATATATATATGAGATTTGATTTTCTCATGCCGTATAAGAATTGAATTATCATGTTGTGACTCAATTAGGGTGAGCTCCATATTTATTTAAAAAAGAGTAAATACCCTTTTTTATCCTCAGCAAATTTCACGATGCCCGTTTTAGTCCGTAGCAAATAAAATGGCCCATCATGATCCCTAAGAAATTCAAAATGGATCCATTTTAGTCCTTTTAAGGACTAATATGAGTCTTTTTTGAATTTGTGAGGGACCACGATTTCAACTAAATTGGTCCATTTTAAATTTCTTAGGGACCACGATGGGCCTTTTTATTTGCTAGGGACTAAAGCGGACATCGTGAAATTTGTTGAGGACAAAAAAGGGTATTTACTCTTTAAAAAAAAAGAAAAAAAAAATTTGCACACAAATCGAAGTGTCACATGATAATTGAATTATCATGTAACATGAGAAAATATTTTTCATATATATATATATATATATATATATATATATATATATATATATAATTTTTTCATACAATATGAAATTTTTTTCTGATTACACTATAAACACATTTTGTGTGGGACTCACGTTATTAAAAAAATACTGCACAAAAATCAAAAAATCACTTATAGCATAATATAATTCTCCTATAACATGAGAAAATATTTTTCTTATATATAGGTTTATTGTCTCTCATATTGTAAGAAGTAATTTTATCTCTTACACATACATAAAAATACGTGCGATTCATATTTTTTTCTCTTTTCTCTTTACATTATCTCACATTAGTCTCATATACTTTTATTTGTATATATGAAATAATTTTATCTCATATATATATATATATATATATATATATATATATATATATATAAAGTTGCTCATGAATTTTATTTATATTATCAAAAGAAATAGTTACCCCACATGGCCACAAGTCGCAGTCAAACTCAAATTGCAATAGGTTCTGTGCTCAAAAACAGCAATTAATGAGTGGGCCAAACATTGCCGGGCCGAAAGAAGTGGTACTGTGTGAGTGTGTGACTATAATTGCTATTTCACTAACCATTGGTTGTGACAAGGACTTGCACAGTTGCAACTCGACAATTTCACACACCCCTTTTGCCCCTTGTGCCAAAATATGTAGATATTGATTGAGTTTGAGGGAAATGACCCACCTTTGAATTGTTCTAACCTTCTCCTCTCTCTCTCTATGGAGCTCTCCTTTTCTACTGCAATATTCGACAAAGCAGCTGCAGATATATGCCATGCTGCTTTTAAGAGCATTAAATTTGTGGTGTGGGAACATGTAGCATAGTTCACATGGCAAATATAGGGCTTGTGATGAAGTGTGAAGTGTGAACCCATGCATCCTTGTTCTCTAGATCTAATGTGAAAAATATGTATGTTTCCAACACTTCTACGTCCATGTTTCTTCAAAAACAAAACAAATACTTTTTTAGTTGTCAAGTGTTTCAATGACCGAAGATGAATTATATATTAAATCAATCGAATCATATCGTTAATATATCTTACCGTAAAAAAAACAACAACAAAAAAATACATTTTTTAATCAATTTAAGAATCCATCCGTTTTTTTCGGATTTGTGCAAGAGCTGAAATTATTTTTTCAAAATTGATTCGACTTGAGAATTGAACTACTTTACCGATTAGGCGAAC